ATAAAAAAAATGAATTCCTCTATTACCAAATATGGTAATAAAATTAATTGCCATTTGTGTGACGAGGATTGTTACATGTCCATTAGAAAGCTCACTCGCAGTGCAGGTGTAAAACATATTTATGCGCCTATTTATGAAGAAACTTGAAACATATTGAAGACATTCCTTGGTGGTGTGATTAGAGTGTGTAATATTGATAACTATTAATTTTTTATTATAATAATACTTTAATAATTTATCTTTTATTTATTTTTAGGATTCTGCTAGTTATGCAGAAGTTACAAAATGTAAAACAATCTGATCCTTAGATGTTGGTACAATATATTGTATTATCCATTTCTTTAAATTAATATAAATACATTATATGGATTGCTTGATTAATGAGTTTATTTATTCTTTGATTATTACAGTTTATGTTAAAAGACATGGAAAAATCATTTATGAATTTGGGGTATAATTCCTTTTAATATACAGTGTTGAAAATTTAATCTGGTGTATTACATGTATGTCTAATTTTTTTTTTATTTTTTTACAAAATAAAAGAAATTTCTCCTTTTTTTTTACTTTTCTGATCCTCATATTGTGAGATCATGTCCAAATCTCATGGTTTCAATTTATATATTTAATTAATCTCTGTATCAATACAATAAAACAATGTCTTCTGATTCATTTACACTAAATTGTAAAACAATTTCCACAAATATACATTTATACTTTACTTTTGAAAACTATATTTCACTATTGTTAAACAATTCCTTGCTAAACAATACTAAACAATATCTTCTTTAGATTTCACACTATGCCCTGATAACATTTCCTGGCAGGTGCCACTTAAACTGTTAATCCCTGTTTTACCAAGTCAGGTATGTTCCAAACTTTTCTTAAATAAAATTCAGTAAATATTACCTCACTAAAAGAAAAGAAAAGAAATAAAAAATAATAAAAAAAGAAAATCAAGACAAACACAATAAACAAGCTCCAGGAGAAAAATAAAGAATTATTAAATGAAATTGAATCCACCAAATATTGGTAGACATGAGGGAGAGATTTCCTCATTGTAGTAAGAATATTGAACAAGACTAAAATTCTGAACCCTGAAATCCTTGGTAATACCAATGTTCACTTTGTCTGGTTTTGTTGCAGCATGCCCCATATATAAATTTAGAAAGACAATGGTATCTTTATGAAAATGTAAGAGGACATGTACAAGATCCAAATAAAAAAGGTATATATTGCCTTCATCCTCTTTCACCCAAGCCTCAAAACGATCATTAGCTATTATTTTGTATTAAAATATTTATTTTTTTAATCATAAATACATTTTAATTATTTTGACCCAGAAAATTTGTAGTTCGAATTTTTGGGTCAAATTTTACTTAATTTGGTAAGATCATTTACTAAGTTTGGTACCTTTCTGCTTGTCGCGCCCCATATGCTGTTATATATAGCTGTATACTGTAACCCTTAAGTGTTCATACATTTACACCCTCAATTATTCTGCAAAAGAAATACTTTTGTGATCAATTTGTGTTATTTATTTTCCTATTTTTGGACGCTTTTTTTTTTTTTAAAAAAAATTATGTATAAAAAACAAATATTTGATTAACTTGGTTTTTGTATTTTCTTTTAAAAAAATCTCTCATTTTTTTTATTATTCGTTGAATTTCGAATATATACGTGTATATATATACATCTAATTTTTTGGTAGCGAGAGAATCTTTTTAAGGAAATAATAATAAATTTAAAAAAATATGTCAGAGCTAAGGAATCAGTCTGCCTATTCTTATCCTTCACCAGCTCAAACAATTACAAAGGCAGACATAACCCTTCGTGAAATATTGGATACATATCGTGAAGACAACGATTTGCTAAAACTAATTTTAGCAACAAAGACTGAAGAGGACAAGGCAAGTATTTCAAAAAAAAATTTTTACATTTATGAGAATTATTATTATATATTATTTTGTTTAAATAATCAAAAAATATCATTATTAACATTATTTATAGAGAAGGGCTGAAGAAGAAAAGTGTAAAACAGAAAAGTTTAAGTTGCAATGTAAACAAGTTGAATTAGAATTGTTGAAAGAACAAAAGAAACCACCCACAATTTTCACAGGAGCACCATGTAATAACAATAATAATATTAATATTAAAAAATAGTATATTAGAAATAGAAAAGTGATATTAATATATTTTTTTACTAATACAAGCTTATATATATATTAATTAATAGCAATAAATAATGCATCATCAACTGCTAACTTTAATGTGTATGTATTTTATATATTTATATATATATCTGATATTATTTTGAAATAATTGATCAAATCTACATTTATAACAATAATTAATAATTTCTACGATTTTATTTTTATTATACGAATCAAAAAGTAAATCTCCGTCAGATATGAATAGCCCTTATTTATCTATTCAACCACCATTAGGTAATTTGATGAAATAAATTATTATCTATTATTTTAGGATTATAATCTATCATCATCATCATCCATATCGTCACGCGCTCATTCATTAGCTCATTCATTCACAATATTTATTTATTTTAGATTCTCATTTCTCTAATACTACACCTACAAGTGCTACCACGCACTTTTCACCTCCACCATCAGCTAATAATCATAACAGTAATCATGTTCATGATCATATGTCATATGGATCAACAACAAATTCTCAAAGTCATTCTTATCATCATCATAACAACAGCAACAACAACAATAATAATACTTCTACTAGCAATACAAGTCAAAAACCTTCACTCACGCTTTCTATTCCTTCATTTCCAATCATATCTTCATCCCCAACTGTTATGCATAGCCACCATTCATTTTCAAATCCTAATAGTAGTGTAGAACACCCTCATTCAGCATCTTCTCTAACCCACCGTCATAGTTTTTATTCACAAAGTCCAACTAGCGCAGTTGGTAGTAAACGCACAAGACCTTCTGAAAACGAGGTTGATCATGAGTATGTCATGGAGGCCATAAGAGCTAAAGTTCAAAGAAACCAAGAACATCCTGCAAAAAAATTCATGAATGTATTAAAACCTAGAAGTGCTAGTATGCCTGTGCCTCCGATAAATAATAATTCACCAACAACATCATCGTCGAATCATCAACATATTAATAGAGAACTTCATAATAACCATAATCAAAATCATCATCTAAATCATCATAACCATAATGGTAATAATAATAATAATAACAACAACATCAGTAATAGTAATAGTAACCATCATAAACGTCAACAATCTTCTCCACCATCACCTACTCCACCACTGCCAATATCACTACCACCTACACCACAACACCATCATCAAAGATCTCATCATTCAACACAACAAAATCCACAAACATCATCTCCTGTTGATCCCTCGCAATCTCACTCGCCTATTCCCCCTCCACAATTACCACCAATTAATGTTCATTCACCTGGTTTAAATCAAGATTCAAAAGCATAATATGGCAATTTTTTATTCTAGTATATATTTGCGTGTGTATGTGTATTTATACTTATATATATATATATATTTAATCAATATTCATTCATTAATTCATCCATCCATCTATCATAAAAAACGAAATTGGCATTCAAAGATAAAATTTCTTTTACCAGAAACACAAAATCATTTATTTTTTTTTTTCATATATTATTATTTTGTTTTGTTTTTTATATATGATCGGAAATACATATCTCATCATCATTATTATTATTTCTATTTTATTTTTAGGAATTTTTTTTTAAATCTTGACTGGATCAAGATTTTTATATATATAAATATTATAATTTTTTATTTTATTTAAAATATATATTTATAAATAAATAAATATTTGTCTACGAATTTAAAAATTTTTTTAGTTTCTTCTACCTTATTTTCTATATATAAATAACCAAAAAAAAAAAAAAAATAAAATGTAATATATATATATTAATTTATTCAACATCAATAACATTGTTGGTTTTATTCTTTTCATTTTCAACCCATTTTTTGATTGCATTTAATGTGTTGGTATCTTTCGGCATACTATTTTTACTGAGTATCTTTGAGACAGTGGATTGTGCAAGTGCAATCTTCACATCACTAATATCACGTATTTCATTTGCAATTTTCCATTGCGTAGTAGATTTATCAGACATACGTAACCTATAATAGTGATTGAATTCTCTCAAGATTATTTTTTGTTCTTCAATTGAAATCGATGGTAACGACGACGGTGATGAAGATTCAGATTCAGGAGGCGATAATGATGTGGAAGGAAAAGTGATCGATGGAATTGATTTTGAAATTGTTTGTGTGATATTGATTGTGGTGATATTGGCTGTAGTATTGGTTGTGGTATCGGTTATCGCATTGGTTGTGATATCGGTTGTGGTATCTGTTGTGGTAATTGGGGCAGTTAGAGGAGTTGTTGATTTTCTTTTATTTACATAATTATCTACTACATGAGTATCTTCTACAATTACACCATCTCTACTAACATCTACTCCTATTACCACCATTTCATTATCTTTTACTACTTTACCTATAACGACTTTTTTATTATGTTTTTTATTGTCTAAGTTTTTAGATTTCCTTTTCAATAAATTCTCTCTTCCTCCCACTTCTCCTACTGCTGTTTCTCTCACTGTATCTTCTTCTTCACCATCACCACTAACACTGCCAACACTATTTTTTCCTTTAACATCACCAATTCTAAAGTTAGTAGAAATAATATTAATTGTGTTGTCGTTACTAGACGAATTATTATCACTATTGGCATAATCAGCTCTACTACTAGCAGTAGTAGCTCTTGTCTCGAATTGATTTTCAGTAAATTCTAATCCATCATTCATTTCATTTTTATTGTCGTCATTGTTGTTATTTTTCGTTGAATCTTTTTGTGAAGTCGATTTTGGAAAAGTATCTGAACGAAGGATATTATTATTGATTTTGCCATTATTTGTCCTTGATTTTTCATAAACGTCGTCAGTATTATTAACATTAGTATTATTAGTATTACTAATATCATCAATACCAATAATAATAATCTTGTCGTTACTACTATTAGGCTTAATAATATTAGCATCATCAACACTAGAAGAGATTGTTGGTATATTTAAATATTTATCAATATCTTTTGGAGCATCATCAGGCAATATAATATACGTATCAGGTGGCAAAATCGCTTTTAATTCTTCAACTGCTAAAGTTGCTTTTTTATATGCTTTATTGACCTCTTCATATGCTTTAACAACCTAAAAATAAATAATTATAAAAGTACAAATAATGTAAATATTTGTTATATATATACATATATATATATATATATAGAATACTCACAGCCAGGGTTTTTAAACGAATTTGTTGCCACAAATTTGATTCATCGCTAGTATTACTATTAATAATATTACTATTAATGTTATTATTATTGCTATTATTATTAGTATTTGTATTTTCAACGTTTAATGTAGAGAGCTTTAGTCTATTAATCATCTTTACTATGTTTTAATTTTTTTTTTTAAAAAAAAATGTATATATTTTTATTTTTAATGATCGTATCACATGATTTGTTAATACTGCAACAATGCCACAAAGGTGACGGTAATTCGTTAAACGCCACGCTAATATAATTTTATGCACAAGGAAGGGGGGTTTTTTCTCTACTTTCTTAAATGATACATAGGATTATTTCTATAAATATGAAATCAGAAGAATTTTAAAAAGAGAACAAGGAGAGAGGATTACCTCTTATGTATTTAAATTAGCTGATATTCGGGCAAGACTTGAAGATTATCTAAGGAAAAGAAAAAATTACCCAAGTTTACCAAGAAAGAAAATATTAAATACTAAAAAAAAAAAAAAGCAGAATGATAATGAATGATTATCTAATAAAAAGGGAATCTTTGGAAAAGAAAAATAATATGGAGTAGAGGCTTATAATATTTATATAATTTAGAAAGGCAAAATAGGAAAATTGTATCTTTTCTTTTTAATCTAGCTATTGCACTAAATGCCAGATTTATAACTGCTAATCGTAATAAATAGACTTGCCATCAACCTTTTCTTCTCTCTTTGTATATGTTGTGTTGTGAGTCAAAAAATTAAATTTTGGGGTAGGGTGTTTGGATATAAATTTTTGACTGGCTAATTTGCGTGAATTCCAAATTGACACAGATTTTCAAATCCACGCACAGCATACATGTATGTTTTCTTATATTCTGCTGCTTGTCTTTTTCAAAATCCTTGTTCTTCAGGTCACTAATACCAATTTATATATGATAAATATTAAGAGCTTGTAAGCAATCAGTGTATTCATAAGCTGCGACAGAGACGATGATCAATAATGATGATGATGATAGTTATTATTATTATGAAATTAAATTATGCACTTTAATGCAAAAAATCAATTTATTAATTATGTTTATTTAGTTAACCCCTGTTTTCACAATCTTTCATATCCCAGAATTGAGTACTAAATTAGATAAAATGCAAAAAAATATTTTAATAATAAGTGATTTTGCATAATGATATAAAATATCAACATGTTTTCTTGCAAATATGATCGTGACTAATGATGTATGACGAAACTTTTGATTTTAGTCATTGACGAAATTAAGGTATTGACTAAAGGTAGTTTCTCACCAAGGCCATTTTGACGATTTGACTAAAGTAAAAACCCTTGACGTAAGTAAAA